TTTCTTAACTCTACTTGGCTTCGTCTTCGGTAAATAAGAAACCAAACATTCTTGACTTTGGAATCAAGTTTATGAATGTTTGTTTGTTTGTTGTTTAACGCCACACTCAGCAATATTACAGCTGCTTGACGGCGGCCTGTATATAATCGAATCTGGAACAGACAATCCAGTGATTGACATCACTAGCATCGATCTACGCAATTGGGATACGATGACATGCATCAGCCAAGTCAGCGAGCTTGACCACCCAATCCCGTAAGTCGCCATTTACGGCAAGCATGAGTTGCTAAAGACCTATTCTAACCCGGATCCCTATAGGGAAGAAAGTTTGAACTGAAAATATACTCTTACCTTGATAATGTATGTCACGGATTGTCATATTCATGGTATTGTATTGTATGATGTTTAAGTGTGCATATGATTTATCACGAATCTTTGTACATACCTTACACTCGCGACATTGTGTATTATCGTACATGTAATTTTTCGATGTATATAGAAGCGTCATACCGTTATATATTATGTAGACCTTCAGACTCAAAATGGGGGGCACGGGTGGCCCAGTCGTCTAAGGCGCCGCGATTCGCTGTGCAGAGTTGCGTCCCTTGGGCATTGCCAGAAACCTATGATTGTGGGTTCGAATCCCGGTTCGCCCCGATTATGTTTCTAGGTTTGTCGTGGGTTTCACCGAAGTGGTAAACGTCTGAGACCTGCATCACTTCAGGCTTTCCTCCCACATTAAACTGACACGCCGCGATATAACTGGAATACTGTTAAAAGCGGCGTTAAACCCAACTCACTCACTCAGACTCAAAACATTACTGCTAATAATTTCATTGCGGAGCAATGACTCGCACCCAACTGGATAATGCCCCTACAACTACTATTACGCGTATACGTATAACAAAAGTATATACAGATTTACATAATTTATAAGCATAAAAAATATATAAATTTAAATGATAAATCATAACCCTGGCGCACTTACGTCACACCATGAAAGCTCTATTATATAATTAGACGATGTCCATCATTTGTTATTAAGGATTGCTGATTGACGCCCAAAGTGACATGTCACCTGCCATGCATGTCAAGTCTCAACACCATTATATATTAGATATGCATAAATGTCAATCAAGTCTAAGTCAATTTATACATATCCATTCTGTAAAATATTCATTGCATACATTGTCCAATCAGAATGTAGTACGTACTACAGTAAATGCATTCACTGTCATGTACAACACTGACTGTATACTTTGCCGTGCGCGACATAGGCATATGTCGGAAAGCACACGTTAAAAACCAAACTAAGTAAGTAAAGGGAGTACTGGTATGGGGATAGACACGACCGGAGTGGCGTTGAATGAACGTTAATGCAGGTTGTGTGATAGTGTTGACATTGGAGATAAATTCCACTACATCTTCAAATGTAAATATTTCAGTAAACAAAGGGACATGTACATCCCAAAACACTATTAAAAAAGACCAAATATGTTACAACTCCAACACTTATTTAACTGTCATAAGCTCTCTGTCCAAAAGAAATTATGCAAATTTGCTTACATTATTATGAATCTTGTTAAAACCTCTGGTTCACCTCTGTCCAGCGTCTGTCTACGGCAATGTAAAATACTGTTTGTACCTCATATGCCGAGGGAAACAAAGTGCTGCTCTGTTCTGTTCTAACAAGATAGCGACCAGATGCATAGACAACCATTTAAGTCGGCTGCGACAAGTTATCACCTGAGTTAATTAACTCAACAATTTGATGAGTGAATTATCTCTGCTAGGTTAAATAAAGGGAAATAAACACAGAGGGCCTAGCCCTAAAATAAGGCACTTGGGCAATAAAATAGACGAGAACGTCTTAATATCAAACCAGTCTTACAGACTAAAGATTCAGTCACTTTGACTGAGCAGGGAGATACTAAAATTCCCCCAAAGCTAGACAATCTCGGGAAGGTTGTTTATCCACGGATTACTAGAAAAACTGAGTATTGTAAGCCCTAGTTACATGTACTGCGTTAAGCTCAATACAACCAGAGTAAGTCCCGTAATCACTTACTAACGAAACCGAAATGTTTCGTACGACCATCAAGTAGCAAACCGACCCTTAAACCGCCCAACCAACCCTGGAGGATAAAGACACAAGATCTTGAAAAAGTTTATATATACAGTGCGCGGACCTCAGAGAGGTCAGTCTCTCCTGGGCTGCCGGGGAATACAATAGTCTGAGGTGCTTAACCAACGTGTGTTTCTAAACACCGGGGAAACAAACTATCATATTCATACTGATGATATAAGTATCAAAAGAAAGCACTGAACATAAGCTATCCAACGGTATCATTAAAGATTACAACAAGCTATGTACATTTATTGTGGAGGCAACAATGATCATAAATACATGAGAAATATCACAGTGTACATATAAATCCCCCTTTGAAAATCATAGTTACAAAAACATTTTCAATCTATGAATAAGGTAGCGAACATATAGGAGCTGATTTGCAAGAACATTACAACTGATCGATGAAGAGGGATTTGAATTGAAGACTTAGTTACCATGACGACACTGATATGAAGTGATACAGTTAACTTTAACGTGCTGACTATTATTATACTGATTGTGGTGTTGTAGTCTTCAGAGTGACAATCACAGAGAGGTGGAAGCAGCATGGCTATTGGGCCACTCCAGTCCTTGTGTCCAAAACGAGTCCATTGCTATTCGGAGGAAATGCCTGTTGGAGAGAAAGATATATTTGTTCTAAAATAATACAGAGATGGGACGGTTAAACGTGGATGCATAAGATCATGTCTTTATTATCTTCACGTTGACATGACATGGCATTATTATGGGACGCTTCGGAAATAATAACAAAAAATAGGGATAATGGAATTACAAAACATAATTGCTAATCCAAGCTGACTGGCTCAGTGAGAATTACTGAAAATGTTTGTACCAATATCCTTGCCCCACTGGATAATTTGCTATATTACTATGTTGACATAATTACTTGCCTACTGATATATGATGATGTTGTGCACCATAGCAGCGTCCTAGAGGTCTGTAATCTTCATTGTGTATGCTACTGCAGTGGCCGAGCGTGCAGACACTCACCCCTGACAAACGCGGAGTCAGGTGCAGTGTGCAGCCGCGGCAAGGGTACCTGTACACATACAGATTGTAATCAGATGGCATTGCATGCACACAGGAACAATTAATTAGGTGCGGTGAGCTGAAATAGGGTTTAACGTCGCGTTCATGACTTTGGCACTTATATAGCGACGTGCATACACGTGTGTGTGTGTGTGTGTGTGCCTGCTTGTACAAGTTCGGACTAATGCCGATTTTAAAGTGCTAGCCCACTGAGAAACCATGCTTGTACAAGTCCGGACTAATGCCGACTAATAACGAGTTAAAGTGCTAGCCCACTGCCGCAGGTTTACTCCGAGCCAACCATTCCTTGTGTTAGCCCCTTAATGACGAGTTGCAGGCAGAGTAACAACAAACACCATCTTTTAACGTCTTGTGGTATGACACAGCTGGGGTTCGAACCCCCGACCATCCGCTCTCCAGGCAGACGCTCTATCCACTAGACCACGGAGGGGGCTGAACAATTAACTAGAATTGAATTGACTAACGGAGTGTTCTGTAAAGGAAAAGACAGGTAGGAAGGCTTGTAGTTCTTAAGATAGTTATTTATAACAGTTTATCTACAACTAAGTCTCATACCTTTTAATTATCAAATAAGTGCAGTCTGAAACTCACCTTGTCACTTAGTTCTGTTCAACATCCATCTCAGCGGTAGCCTGATAATGCCAACATCCTACCAGAGCACCACACTGATTAGGAAAATCCGCCTTTAACTCCGAGTATCAGGAATAGTAACTGAGATATTTTGATCATAAGTTGACCATTTAACCAACTGTAATATGATATTTCTTCAGACATACCAGTGAGATTTGACACACTCATTAGAACCAGTGAGAATTTCCTGTTTCAAAATCATTCAATCCCTGACAAAAAATGTTCTCCCAACACAAGTAACCAAGAACAACAGCCTAAACGTGTCAGACTCGGTTATCAAAGTAGTCCGATTTCATCAAGACGGCACAAGTCTTAGTGACCAGTCGCCACACAGTCAACATGCCATTGGTCTCACAGTCAACAGTCCAACAGGGAAAGAGAACTTCCTCCTTCATCGTCGGGGACCACGTCAACCTGGTGTTACCTCTCCACTGCAGTAAGGAAGATATAAACGAATCAGTAACACTACACGAATTAATATTATGTATAATATGGACAGTTTGTACTCTATACCTCACTTGAACAGCTGTCATGTTGGTGCCTACATTTCATTAATATTAGTCCATCCACTACGCAACAAAACTTCAAAGAAGGTTACACACACATGTGATTTGATCGGCATGTTATGGAAGTTATTGAATAATTTTTTAAATTAACAAAATACTGTTTCGTCTTCAGGTGTGATGACAGGTCACCTTCTCTATCACCTCTGCCAATTACACTGCTTCATGTGCAGGAATTTACACCCTATGATATACTCACCATATCTGTGATCAAGTAATCCGAGTAAATGTAGCTTTAAACAGTTTTATGTTAACTTGGACCAGATACAATGCATCTTCTCGAGGAAATGGAGTGAACTGACCATAAACGTTAAGTGGCTCGACCGTGACACCACCCGTTGCAGTTACGTGTTATGTTCCTCCTATGTCCCTCCCATTGACCAATTTTATCTCTGCTGGACTGGTTACTGAGACTTGTGTTGTCTTGATGAATTCGGACTACTTTGATAACTGAGTCTGACACGCTTAAGATGTTGTCTATTTGCATGTCAGATGAGGTACCTGAGGCTAGTGGTAACTGAGGCTGGTGACAACTGAGGCTGGTGACAACTGAGGCTGGTGGCAACTGAAGTTGGTGGCATCTGAGACAGGCTCGAAACCGAGGCTTGGGGCAACCGAGGCTGGTGTCAACTGAGGCTGGTGGCATCTGAGACAGGCTGGAAACCGAGGCTGTTGGCAACTGAAGCTGGTGGCATCTGAGACAGGCTCGAAACCGAGGCTTGGGGCAACCGGGGCTGGTGGCATCTGAGACAGGCTCGAAACCGAGGCTTGGGGCAACCGAGGCCGGTGGCAAGTGAAGCTGGTGGCAAGTGAAGCTGGTGGCATCTGAGGCTGGTGGCAACTGAGGCTGGTGCCAAATGAGACAGGCTGGAAACCGAGGCTGGTGGAAACCGAGGCGGGTGGAATCTGAGGCCGGTGGCAACTGAGGCTGGTGCCAACTGAGGCTGGCGGCAACTGAGGCTTGTGGCAACTGAGGCTGGCGGCAACTGAGGCTTGTGGCAACCGAGGCTGGTGGCAAGTGAGGCAGGTTGCAGATGTGGTTGGTGAGAACTGAGGCTGGTGGCAACTGAGGCTGGTGGCAACTGAGGCTCGCGGCGACTGAGGCTGGTGGAAACTGAGGCTGGCGGCATTTGAGGCTGGCGGCAACTGAGGCTTGTGGCAACTGAGGCTGGCGGCATCTGAGGCTTGTGGCAACCGAGGCTGGTGGCAAGTGAGGCAGGTCGCAGATGTGGTTGGTGAGAACTGAGGCTGGTGGCAACTGAGGCTGGTGGCAACTGAGGCTCGCGGCAACTGAGGCTGGTGGAAACTGAGGCTGGTGGCATCTGAGGCTGGCGGCAACTGAGGCTGGTGGCAAGTGAGGCTGGCGGCATCTGAGGCTTGTGGCAACCGAGGCTGGTGGCAAGTGAGGCTGGTGGCAACTGAGGCTGGCGGCAACTGAGGCTGGTGGCAACTGAGGCTGGTGGCAACTGAGGCTCGCGGCAACTGAGGCTGGTGGAAACTGAGGCTGGTGGCATCTGAGGCTGACGGCAACTGAGGCTGGTGGCAACTGAGGCTGGCGGCAACTGAGGCTGGTGGCAACTGAGGCTGGCGGCAACTGAGGCTGGCGGCAACTGAGGCTGGTGGCAACTGAGGCTGGCGGCAACTGAGGCTCGCGGCAACTGAGGCTGGTGGCAACTGAGGCTGGCGGCAACTGAGGCTGGCGGCAACTGAGGCTGGCGGCAACTGAGGCTGGCGGCAACTGAGGCTGGTGGCAACTGAGGCTGGCGGCAACTGAGGCTGGTGGCAACTGAGGCTGGGGCAACTGAGGCTGGTGGCAACTGAGGTTTGTGGCAAGCGAGGCAGATCGCAGATGTGGTTGGTGAGAACTGAGGCAGGTTGCTGCCGGCAACTTAGGCTGGTGGCAACTGAGGAACGCCATCTCATTCAAGTTGTTCAATTATAATAACAGCGACGAGAACTCCCAGCTCATTGTACGATTCCGACTATATCTTAAGCATGTGTTTAGGAGTCACTGTCAAATAGCTGACACCTAACTAAACATAAACGAATGGCAATAAAAACGACAAAACCATTTCCATAATCATAGGATTCCGACTGTATCACAAGCATGTGTTTAAGAATAACTATCAAATAGTTATACTTCCAGGTGTTCTCGAAAAGGTGAGCGTATCCTGCTCGTATCGGAGACACCCGGCGCAAACACATGCACAGGCAAGTCAATTGGTCACCTGAAAAAACACGGGAACATATTGTGCCAGTCATAATAGAGACTTGCACCGGACATCATCTTTGTCAAACTTTGAAATGTCCTTCACGTGTCTACCAATAATCATTTTGAAAGCATTACTGGGGCCTTAAAAGTACCTATGTACAAACTCATCTGAACTATCTACATAGGTATCCATGTACAAAGTATATGTAATTACAATATACAAAGTACAAGTGCAGTAATGTACAACGTACAACCAAGTGAAATACAATGTACAAACGTACAAAACTATCTTGGTGCAAAGTTTAAAAAACTCATGATACATAGGGACGGCAGCTTCGACAATAGGACCGTGGCTACTTCCTGCAATATTCCCTTTCCACATACGAGGTGTAAAATACATGTCAAAACAGAATCCTTGTTGATGAGTTTGTGGTATGTCTGATATCTCACATTATAAATGAAGTGTGTTCTGAAATTGAAACAACCCACAACACGTGGGGGCGGGGTAGATTGGTGGTGGGGGTAGGGTGGGGTGGTGGTGGCGGTGGTGTTGGGGGGTGCTTAGGGTTGCTTAATATGTATGATTTAAAAGTGCCTGCTGTGGCGAAACTAAAATGGAATTTAAAAAAACCTGCTACCGTACATAAACAAGAGATACGACATCCGATTGTGCGGTGCATTCGTCACCACTCGCCCCTCTCCGTAACATGCAAGACTCGTCCCCCTATCGATGAATGTAATGTACGAAAATACGACAAACCAAAATAATGACTAAAAGTACTTCGGTCAAATAATCCCTCAGGAATTTTTGATTTCACACACGTCTTACATCTAAAAACATACCCTAGATACAGTTAAATGTGTTCAATCATAATTTAAATACATTACACTGTCTCCGAGCTGACCAGTCCTTTTTTATCACCTGATTGTCGTTGTGAACACTATACAGCAATATCGCTGTCCTCACTGACATATTGACTTATGTTGCATAAAACCACAGATGTATACTAACTGTCATTACAAATAACATACAGCATCATTGTCAGATTTTATTGTAGTGTTTACGGTAATGCATTCTGAATCCAATAGACATGTTCTCTTTCAATGGAAACTGGAACTGAAAGGAATATCTTGAGATGACGGAAGAAATCCCTCACAAAGGTGAAACGCACTGTTTCCGTGTGATGCGTCAAAACTGTCAGGGAATCAATACAACATCACAAGTGTTTGCCTATAATGTTTCGGCAAATAATCGAGTGATATTTACCTCAGCTGCAGTTACAAACGACCCGACACTACTTCCTGGTCGTTTGTTATAGACCGTCCTAACTCATTTCTCCCACAAACAACACCAGCCGTGCAGCGACGATGAAGCTGGTGTGTTTTCCTGCTGTTGTGTTAGTTGTGGCAGTTATTGGATTAAATACAGGTAAGGTATCAAACAAGGTTTGTTATTTTTGTTAGAAACAATATATTTTCAGTCACAATTGTTTTCGATTGTTTTCTCTGAAAGGATGAGCCGGATAAAAAAAATCACAATTCCTTTTCAACATCCAGACACCCATCGAACAATTTTCTTTCCAAAACCTGAAGCCAATCAGTTTCCAGTATTTCCTGGAACAAATAATGCTATGTAAGAAAAACAAACACGTGAATTCATTTCTTCAAGAAAGTTGTATACCTGACCAGGTTAGGAAATATGAATGTACACTACGTTTATAACGAAAACGCTTATAACGAACTGACGGATATAACGAAATGTGTTTTGAAATGTGATCCCGTCCATTTGCTGAATAGTTGCTGTATATATGCTTATAACGAACTACGGTTATAACGAACTAAAATTAGTGGTCCCTTTGAGTTCGTCATAACCGTAGTTTACTGTATTGTATACAACCTCCTTTGTTCCAGGTGCAGTTTTTCTGTCTGAGGACTCACCATGGACAATCACGGCTGGGACCACTGCATCTGTCATTTGCGGATACCAAAACATAACAAACTACACAGTGTACTGGGAGAAAGAGGAACATTCAAGGGTTACACCTGGAAATGAAACTCTAATTTTCCAAAACGTCCAAGTCACAGACCACGGAAACTACTCATGCGTTATTGAGGCGAATGACACTGTACTTGAACAAAGAACCTTGGAAATCCGTGTGAGCTGTAAGTAGAATGCGAATTGTCTTTGTTATAAATTCAAACGAATAAGAGACAGCTTTCTAGACTTTGGAATCAAGTTTATAAATTTTTGAATGGTACGAATGGTGACCTAGTTTGGTACAGAACACTGCGTAAATATGCCATGCAATTTGAGGATGGAACTTTCTTGAGTCTATTTCCATCAATAGTGAGTGAGTGAGTGAGTTGGGTTTAACGCTGCTTTTAACAGTATTCCAGTTATTTCGCAGCGTGTCAGCTAAATGTGGGAGGAAAGCCCCAAGTGATGCAGGTCTAAGACGTTTACCACGAGCACGGGTATGGTGCTGACAAACCTAGAAACATAATCGGGGCGAACCGGGATTCGAACCCACAATCATAGGCTTCTGGGGTGTCCAAGGGCCGCAACTCTGCAAAGCGAATCGCGGCGCCTTAGACGACTTGGACACCCGTGCCTCCCTTTCCGTCAATAACAAAAAATCTTTCAAAATATACATTTATATTACTCTCAATCTTAAACCACAAAATTCTTGTTGTTCTTTTACGTCTTCACGTTTACACTTGTTACAGATCCTCCAGGGAATATTTCGATATCAGTCAAAAACAGAGTCAGAGTCAGAGCTAGTTACACCATTCCGGGAGGTGCCAACGCCACTCTGGTCTGCTCTGTTGATGGATTTCCTCCTCCCTTCATCACGTGGCGAAAGGATGGCGACATCATAAAGGAAGAGAACCTCACAGACCGCTATGGCCTCCGCCAGCCTCCCACTGACGGCTTCATTAGTGTCTTCGACGTGATCAACGCCGGGCGTGAAGACAGCGGCACCTATGCATGTACAGCTCACACCAGCGCCAACCAGAATGATAGTCCGGAGGCCGAGGTGCACCTGGCCGTGCCTAACTGTGAGTATGTAGTTGACTGCACAGAAGTAGCATCATTTGTGCTGGGTAGATCTATGTCATTGTGCCTTTATCGACTAATATACCTCTTACCCAAGTATTCATTTCGAGATGATCTCTACGAATCTCAATAGATCTGCATGAAAACTAAAGGAGGAATGTTAAAGCAGAGGGCGTCGTGATCAAAATCTTTTGATTTTGAAGGCATGATTGCCAGGGTTATGTTGTTACTTCTTATTTTGAAGTTTAAGGGATTTGTGATGATTTGATTGGTTTATTTGCTGATCACATGACCAGTTCATTTTTTAACAATTTCAAAAAGTGACGCCCACAAAGTATTAACTTCACCTTTTGACGTTTACACGATTTTTGACCGGGACTACTTTCCATGGGGAATCCCCGAGTGGAACAATTCTCCCTTTTCTCTCCTGCTCACCACGATCGTGATGATCGGTAATGTCAGACAATAACTTAACGTTTCTTTTCTCTCAAAGCATTTTACGCAAAGGAAAATTACTGTAAATGACAGAATTAAAATGAGGAACATCGTAAATTTCACCATTTGTGACACATTACTAAATCACCATTCACGGCGTTTTTTATGGGAATGTTTTGACATAAAATATATTGGAGATTTACTCGGAGAAATGAATTTAAAAAATAGCAAAGCGGTGATCTTGGGTTTATGTTTTTGTAACCGGGGTTTGTGATGGCAAATACAAGGTCCAACACAGGCTACGGGTGTGAGTCTTTATTGCCTTATTAGTAGATAACAATGACACCCTGTAATGTACAAACAATAAGATTATAAAAACAGTAGTACACAGGTTTCATACACACATATATTAATACAATACAAAGCAACCTTTCATTTAATATAAACATAGTCTATATTCATTACATCAACATGAACTTAATAATCAATGATATATAAAATCATTACCTTACCCTGAAGTAAACAAACGATTGATCAAGGGCGATAACTCGATCCCGACATTACTGATAAGATTACAATATATATATGGTCCACGGTTCCAACATACAATGAACATTACAAATTCAATTACCACTTTGTTGAAACTACTATATTAATTCATTACCTGATCATACATTTGGTATGATACACTATTTACAAAATATACTTCATGACACAACAAACATGTAAATTATGCGTACCCTGTGGGTGACACTGGGGTGTTTGTCCTCTCTAGGCAGCCGCGTTGCGTGGTAGCTTTGTACCTGTCAGCACGCTCCTAATTACAGAATCAACTATGAATAAATGTAACATACAGAATACAATTTAGGAAATATAACTAACTACTAACTACCATACAATGATTGACATTGCATACAAATTCAGTATTTACACAATGATAAAAATCAACGCATTCGCTCAAACATTCACACACAGGAAGAAGAAGGATGACAAGCATTTATAGTGTTTACTAAGCCTTATTTAATTATTAACTTAGTAATATGGTGACACAATCACCATACCAAAGATAAGCATGTTAATAATACTGAAATTACATTCCACATAACTTAGATAACATAAGTTATATTATTATACAAATACATAGATATTAGCTAGCAATTTTATAGATTACTAACCTTAATAATCGAATTATTTATCCCAGATCTGTCCGAGTCCAAATTGTTGACTGACTTCTGAATTGGTGTATTGTCAAGTGCAAGATGGATGAAAAGTGCACAGTTTGAACAAGCCAATGAAAACAAGGCTTGGGTTAGAACAAAGAGGAGAAACAATGACACAAACATAGACCAACCCAACCACCCTCTACATTATAAGTAAACTAATCCAGAAGCCCATAATAGATATTGAACTAAGAACCTACTTTCCTAACAACTTAAAATAATATTACAAACCTAAAGGACCTCAAATAGATAAAACATATATACAACAAAACTGTATGTTAATACTTGTGTCTGCCACATACTTCCCCCCACAGGAAAATGATGTCTCATCATTTGACCTTGCCGCTAACAAGATCGAGAAGAGTATCAGCCACTCGGTGTCGCTGATCCCGGAATCTATCATCAGCTAGCAGAGAATTGAGATAGTTGGCTCTGGCAAGCCATTCTGGATTTCCAGGATCACTTATGGCAGAAAGAACATATTCTCCACTTCTCATCCAGTTGGGCTGTGACCTGGTTCTGGTTGACCGCCGTGGCTGAGAAGCATCTTCTGGCTGCAAATTGGGTTGTTCTTCTCTGTCATCCTCACTACCTGTGGCCCCAGTCTCAGATCTGTCTTCATCTTGCTCGTTCTGGTGAACAGTATTATCAGTTGGCTCTTCTTCTTCCCTCCCTTCTTCAGTAGGAGTCTCATCTCCTTCTAAAGCTTCTTCTGACTCTCCTTCAGTTGGCCTTTCCACTGTGATCTCAGTAGGAACTGAAGGTTCTGAAGAACGGGTATAGCCAATTGCTGATTCCTCATCAGACAGATCTTCACTTGTTTCGACAGCCGTGTTCTTCCTCGGCTTAGGCACAGGTATTGGTACTTGTCGTCGTCTGGGTTTAATGGCTGGTGGCATTTTGACTGGCAAAGAACTAACTGGCAGCAAGAGGTTACGATGTAGCACTCTATTTCTTCCCTCTCCATTCTCCTTTCCAACCTCAAAGACAGGTATCGATGGATTGGGATGGCGCAGCACAACATATACATCTTCCTCCCATCTGTTAGCTAATTTATGTCTTCCATCAAAGGCCACAATCTTTACAAGGACTCGATCTCCTGGTTCCAACATTGCAGCTCTGGCCCTCTGGTCATAGTAAGTCTTCTGCTTGGCCTGAGATTTCTGAGATGCTGTTGAAGCTATGTCATAAGCTTGCTTCAAACGGTCCTTCAAGGATTTGGTGTACTCTGTTATGGACTTGCTTTCCTGAATTTCCATGTCCAATCCCAAAACAAGGTCAACTGGTAGTCTTGGATGTCTTCCAAACATCAAGAAGAAGGGAGCTACAGATGTTGACTCATGGCGGGTACAGTTGTAGGCGTGGACGAGTGGACCTACATGCGCCTTCCAGTTCTTCTTTTCATTTGGTTCCAAAGTACCAAGCATGTTACAAAGAGTACGGTTGAACCGTTCTGTCATCCCATTGCCCATTGGATGGTATGGCGTTGTCCGGGACTTTTCTATTTTCAGAAGCTGGCACAATTCCTGCATCACCTTCCCTGTAAAATTGGCTTCTTGATCAGAATGGATTCTTTTTGGAAGACCATAATGGATGACCAAATTGCTGAAAAAGGCTTCTGCTGTTGTTTTTGCTGACATGTTCTTGGTTGTGTAGGCTTGGGCGTAGCGAGTGAAGTGATCTGTCACAACCAAGACATGTTCTATTCCTCCTTTAGAGGGTTCTAGGGAAAGGAAGTCCATGCATACAAGCTCTAGTGGCTCGGAAGTCTTGATGCTGATTAAGGGAGCTTTGATGTTGGTTGCAGTTTTCCTCCTTAGACAACGCTCACAATGTTTTAGGTGGGTCTCCACGTCACGTGTTATCCCTGGCCAGTAGAATCTGTCCTGTAGAAGTGATACAGTCCTGTCTCTTCCAGGGTGTCCAACATTGTCATGGAGGCTCCTCATTGCCGCAGTTCTTAATCGAGAGGGTAGAACTAGCTGTTCCCGGTCTACGCCATTAACACTGGCGACTCTGTATAGAACTCCTCGCTTGAGTTTGAACTGACTGTAGTTCTTCATCAATGATGTCATTTCAGGATCCTTCAGGTAGTTCATCCGGTCTGGTCTTGCTCCATTCCTCAAGTGTGTGATAATTTCTACTAGGGCTTGATCTTTAGCCTGTGATCGTCTCCAGTCTCTGGCATTCTGTTCACATCTGTCCTCAGTTAAGTCAAGGTCTTCATCTTCAACCACATCTGCAGAGAGGCACAAACTTTCCACAAGATTCGTCACATGGGTTGAATGACAAATAGCTGTGACATAATCTTTGGCAATCTCATCCATGTCATCAGGGTCTTCCTTGACTGGTAACCTAGACAGAGCATCGGCATCACTGTTGGATTTCCCTGGGCGGTACTTAATGCTGAAATTATAGCTGGAGAGAGCAGCAAGCCATCTATGACCTGTGGCGTCTAATCGAGCACTTGTCAGCACATACGTCAATGGATTGTTGTCGGTAATAACCACAAAGTCATGACCCCACAAGTAGTCATGAAACTTCTCTGAGATAGACCATTTCAGACACAAAAACTCCAGCTTGTGTGCTGAATAATTTCTCTCAGAACGACTGAGTCCTCTACTTGCATAAGCTATTACTCGTGGCTGTCCGTCCTGCACCTGGTAGAGTACTGCACCTAATCCATGACCACTGGCATCTGTATGTAGTTCAAAGGGCTTGGTACAGTCAGCATATCCCAGAATTGGTGGCATGGAGAGTCGCTGCTTTAGTTCGTTGAAAGCACTCTGTTGGGCTTCCCCCACATCCAGTTAACGTCCTTGGGTTGCTTTGACTTCTTTGAAGCTGACTTTGGCATTAACTCTGAAAGTGGTTTGGCAATTTTGGCAAAATCTTTGATGAATTTTCTGTAATAGCCAGCGAATCCTAGAAATTTCCTAACTTGTTCCGGGCTGGAAGGAGTTGGCCAATGTTGCACTTTGTCAATTTTCTCAGGGTCAGCTTCAATTCCATGTTCGGAAACAATGTACCCCACATACCGAACTTTTCTTTTGAAGAACTTGCTCTTCTTGGTGGCGAGTTTGAGCCCACATTCTTGTATCCGCTGGAAAACTTGTTTGAGTCGTTCAGTATGTTCTTCATACGTGTTAGAGAATATGATCAAATCATCGAGATAGATCAAACAGATGTTAAGGTGTAGACCTTCAAGGCATCGTTCCATGAGACGATGGTAAGTGGCTGGGGCGTTGGTAAGTCCAAATGGCATACGATTGTACTCGTAGAATCCTAGAGGTCCTACAGTGAAGGCAGTTCTTTCTTTATGAGCTTCCTCGATCTCCACCTGGTGATAACCACTTTTCATGTCAAGGACTGAGAAGAACTTGTTTCCACCCAAACAATCCAGTAAGTCTTCAATCCTCGGCAGAGCGTAGGAATCTTTAATGGTTCGGTCATTAAGCTGGCGAAAATCTGCACACATCCTGAGACGCCCATCTTTCCTTCTGGCAAGTACAATATTGGATGCCCAAGGACTGTGTGACTTCCTGATTACTTCAGCTGAGAGTAGTGTTTGAATATGGTTCCGAACTTCATCAT